TGTATCCGGTCATAGCCCCCTCTACAAGTGTCTGAAGAAAAAAAATGAAAAGAAACACATTGTCAGCGAATATTTGCAGAGAAGAGAAGCATCAACGCATTCAATTGTAGGATTAATATAAGATTACATCATTTTGATGGGTTTTCAGTGATATATAGGCACATATTGTTTTAAGTCTGGAAGTTAGGTGAAAGTAGTTTGATTGAAATTGTCGATTAGCACTCAATGCACAGAAAAGATTAAAGTTAGCTCTTATAAATATTGAACTTAAATAACCTTGAGACAAGACTGTAGTTACCGTATAGAGGTCCATGGCAGGTAATCCGCCTCCCCTTAAATAATCCTGAAAGCATTTGTAGCCATTTTCAAGGTCACCAGAGTGTGGATAGCACCTAAGATATTCATGCTTGATGATCAATGAAAAGTTTTCATACACATAAATCACTCCGGTACATTAGTACTGTACACTTGAAAATGAAAAACTGCAGTATAAATTTCTCAGTATATAACTTTTTTACCATTTGAGTCACTCGGCCTTTTGGTGAGTAATGCAGTAAAGGTACAGACTTTAGCCAACATTCATGCAACATGATGCTTAAATATAGAGGCTATAAGCATAATTCAAGGGTTGTTGTATTGTACCTCATAATTTGTGTGACAATATATGTGTCGGCTTCTTTACCCTCGTTCTTAAGCATCTCTAGAAGAGCTTCCATTGCCTGCCATGGCAGAATTGCTAATCACATTTCAGAAAAGAGATCAGCCTGGAAAATGCTCTGCTTGCACTCTCGGAACAGACCATCTCGCACAAATCAAGAGTTCAGTAGTTTAGGAGTTTAGATCTACGGGAAACTGCTTACTTTTACGTCCTTGAGATCAGCGAGAGCATTGAATGCTACGTGATACACGGTTAAGTCCCTCTGCAAAAACTTTTTCATGTGGACATACTCTGCGGTTGGAAGATTGTACAGTTCTTCTTCAAGAACATTAACCATCATATTTCCCTCACTTTGTTCCAATGAATCAACTAAAGTCAAATGCTTTGACTTCTTAACTAGCTCAAGAATCTGTTTAAAATAAAAGGAAGATATCATCAGAAAGCATACCTTGAGGAGCAAAAAAAAAAAAAAAAAAGAAGAAGAAGGAAATGCACAAAGAGATTACCTCAGTAGAAAGATTATCTGATCGAGGTAACTTATTTAAGTGTGCAGTTATAAGGTCCAGCATAGCAGAACTGGTTTAGACCAGCATCACAAGTAGTCAAATCATTTGCTCTAGAATTACTGTTTATCATGAAAACATATAAGATACAAAAAAAAAGATTGAGATCATACATAAGATTTAATCATAAGAGAGACAAAATGGTGAAAGGACTTAGTTTTGGCTTGTGGGCACTGAATAGATTATAGAAGTAGTTACCTACACACATACTAAATGTCCAGCTGCAGCGCACGCATCGAGTAGACAAACATGGGTCTGCGTATTTCGTTCGACTCCGTATGTCTTCATCTCTTCATAGACCTTTTCATAAGAGAAAAAGCAATGTTTTGTAATATGAACTTAGCAAAGAGATGTAGATGAAACAAGTGGAAGTTAACATACTCGGATAGCTTCGTTTGCGTTCTTGCATTTACCACATGTAGAAATCAAAAAGTTGTACACATTAACCTACAAGTAAAAACCGAACACCTGATCAATACAAGACATATATGGGACCATTTTTTGATAAACTCTCAAAACTGAGACCTACAAACTAGAGCCTAATCATCTAACTTATCATGGGAACATAGTTCATTTGAGATTTTGACATACATCAGGAACAATTCCCATGGACTTCATCTCTTGATGGAAGAAGAATGCATCTTGCAATCGAGCACCTTTCATTACTCCAACAACTAATGAGTAGAATAAATCTATATTGGGCTGCTCACCGTCTAGCATCATGTCATCATACACATCCCTCAGTAGATAATACCTAACCAAAACACTAAATCAGTATATCATACTTTACATGGACAAATGCAAGAAAAAAAAAAACTTCAACACATTGGTTTGATCGAAATTACTTCAAAACATTAGTAAAAGTGTATTAAGAGAAGCTTAAGCGAAAGAACCTGCGCTGCGCAGTGATGGAATTGATAACTCCGTAATAATCACACAGATTGTTGGCGTAATTCCTCTTTGCATATTCCTCTGCTGATGCCACGAAGTACCTTCGACTTAGAGCTCGAATCAGACCAAGATTCTTCCCTGTTTTAGTCGATTAAAATCAAAATCAAGCATTGGCATTTCAAGAAGAGAGAAACCCACAAATCAAGTTCGGATATTGACAACTTGATCTTTCTTTCCAGTCACAGAGACATACACATATTACGATAGAAATTGAGCAAACTTACTAGAAATGGATTGGAGGAGGAACCTCATATAGATCACGAGATTAGGCTGAAACCGGGAATTTCTTACTACCGCCGTGAAACTCCGCCTGTATTCGGACATGGGAGGGAGGGCAAAACAGAATTTGAAATTTACTGGCGAAGCGCGAACCGCGATAGAGGGAGAGTGTAGTACGAGAGCAGCTCAAGGCATAAATATTTAAATATAAAAAATTAAATAAATAAATATTCAAAAAATCATATATAAAAATAAAAATAGTTTATAAATGTTATTAAAACCACCTTACAAGCATACTTTACGTTGAGCCATGGTTTGAAATCTCTTCATTACTGTTTCATTTGTAACTGATTCAAACAACTCTTTCTCAATAAAATAAACAAGACAATCGCTTAAAAATTGATCTCCAATTCGATTGCGAGAAGTTGTTTTCACAAACTTCATTGCAGAAAAACATCTCTCAACTGTTGCTGTAGCAACTGGTAAAGTCAACACCAATTTCAATAATCTGTAAACAAGAGGATGTGCAAGATGTTTCTGTGTTTCCACCATCAGATGCGAAAGATCTCCAAGACTTTTCAAATTGCTAAATCGTTTATCCTCTTTTACATTGTCAATGTAGATGTCAAATTGCATACTGATCAAACCAAGCTGGATTAAACCAAGCCAGTAAGCATATTGATCAAACCAAGCTGGATTAAATCTTCTTAATGATTTTCCTATCATTTTTTTTGGAAAATTATGACCATAAGGCTTACAAAGACCTCTATCAAGATATTTGCGTCTTACCTCATCTCTTTTATTTGGATGATATTTCAAAATCTTTTTCCGTTTAGCAGGATCCCATGAAAAATCATCCAAATTACTCTCAGTCTCAGATGTTGAGGCAGATTTTCTTTTCAAAAACTTTTCCATCAACTGAGAAAAAAAACAATTGTGTTACTAATTTAAATTAAGTTAAAAAATTAACTAAAATAAATAATTAAACAAATATATAAGACTTACTAATTGATTCATAGTATGCTATTTTTGCAGTGATGTTTAAAACTCAGATTAGATCGGTTGGTTAAATCAGCTTAATTAAAAACCAGCTAACAATCCGATCTAAATTAGCTACTAAAATCGGATTTTTAAAAACTTTAAAAATCCAAAAAAACCAATTAAAACTCTGTGAACCGATAATTAAATCGGTGGGCCAAATCAAACCAAAGCAATGTTTGATCTACCCGAGTTCCGTTTGATTTAGCAGAAGCTCTTCAAACGTAGGCTTTTATGTTTTAACTTTTAAGCCCAAAAAAATTACTGATGTTGCTAAAATAAAATAAACTATATATATGCAGCCTTTTTTAGAATTTGTTTCACTAGATGTCGATGTGGGATTCTTCATTTTTTATCAATCACGTTTTTTTGTTTCTATTAGTAGCTTCAAGCTTGTGTTTGTTTGTTGATTGGGCTTAAGGGCTTAAAAATCCAATTTTATTAGTTTGGATTTAATAAATAAGAGAATGGGGGCATATATAATTTAATCAATGGGGGCATTAAAACTGGGCTTTAATAAGTTGTTCTAATTTTTAAAAATCCACTGGAGGCCAATGACCCCAATAACTTGTAAGTGGCTCCGCCACTGATTCGGAGGGAGGGAAAAACAGAATTTGAAATTTACCGGCGAAGCGCGAACCGCGATAGACGGAGAGTGTAGTAAGAGAGCAGCTCAAGGTTTAGGGTTTAGCCCTTTAGGGTGAACCAAACCGAAACAAAATCCAATCGAACCGCTACAAACCGCTACAAAACGCTTTGTTTTGGTAAACATGATTTGGTCATTTTCTAACAGTTTGTTTCCACAAGAGTTTCTGTAAAACTTGAGTTCGTAGAAACTTCAGTTTGTGGTTTCAAATGCAGACCAAGAAAAACAAAAGGTTCTAAAGAAAAAAACTGATCAACTAAATTTTGAGACTTTTGCTTGTTAGATCAATAGTTAAGCGCTAGATCCTATTCGAACGTCCGAGTAGAGTCCATCAAATTTTTGAACTTAAGCAAGATTCTTTTTGTTTGGGAAACTTTGTTGTTTTTTTGTGCTAATGGGAAAAGAACGAGTTTTTCCTTTGTCTTTGTTCTGGTGGATGTTGTGTAACTTGTGTTCCATTGAAGCCAGAAACTAGGTGTTGGCTTCTTCTTTTTTTTGTGAGGTCGGGAAAATTTGTTGCTTTTTGGGGACGTCAAGATGAGAAACCGTGATAGAGAGTGTTTAAGGCACTAGGAAGAATAGAGGCCATAATTTAGTATAAGTCATATTAATTACGATTTGATATTGCAATTCGTTGATGGACAACGACTTAAACCGTTACAAGTGTTGTTACTTCACACACACAAAAACTGATCTTCGATATTATTAGGTAACTAGCAAATCACAATAAAGAGTGCTTTAAATAAAAAGGTACTTAGTTTGGTAAATTCCAGACAAGAATCTAGTATCATCGTTTGATGGATGGATTTGGTTCCGTGACTTTGTGTCTCTGGTTTCAAGACCTCAAAACAAAACCCAACCATCTAGTTTCTGGCTTCAATGGAACAACAACAACATATGCCAGAAAAAAAAAAAAAAAAAAAAAAAAAAAAAGAGCAAGGAAAAAACATGTTTTTTACTGTGTTCTTGTATACATCTGCTGACTAAACATAACATTAAGAAGATACGTCGTGCGGTAAATTAGATTGCTAGTAGTAAACTCTGAGGGATGTAAAATGGTAATTGTAAAAAGCAAAAGAGAAAAAGAAGTGTAATTTACATGAAAGTTAAGAAGAGGACCAGACTCTTAAGCTTAGAGCTGTGTAGAAGTATCTGTACTGCATTATGAGAGACGGACGATGCAGAGCGAGAGAGAGTGAATTTAAAGGTCACGTCTACACATTGGACAAGAACCATGCCTGAGGAGCCAATTGTCGATACAAGGTAAGTGAAACATGTGATGACAATGAGGCAAGCTTCTTACTATTTCACCAAGCTGGAAATCCTGCAATATCACACATCAGGAAGGAGAAAAGAAACTTTCAGTTAGATCTGTGTGATTCGATATAATTACACTAAAACGAAGCAAAATGATGGTAGAAACAAACCTGAAGACAGACAGAACAGGAAGCATCTGTGTTGTTGTTGCCAGTGATTGTCATCTTTGGGATTTTCTCAACCAGGTCTCCTGTCAATCCTTTTGAGCCTCCTGTCTCGAAGAGGCTTGAGAGATCATCAAAAGGTGCATCCAAAGCTCCCATCTGATCATGAGACCAAAAGAATCAGTAACAAATACAGAAAGTAGTGCCAATTCTGAAACTTTAGTATGCAAAAAACATACCTGACTTTGCACTGCACTTAGCATTGCAGGACCTATGCGTTCCCGTACGAGTCTCCCGCTTAGAAGACTAACAATGACATCAATCTACACAAAGAATTTCACAAGAGAAAACATCACTAAATCATTCAAAGTTCAATCAATCGAATTTCGTACTTTCATTGCAAGTGTTGCTGCTCACCAAGTAGAGAAGGCATCCGAAACCTGACTCATCGGATTTCCAGAGATCGAGCGATGATTCAAAGACCTCGATAGAGAAAACAGCTCCCGAAATGGCTCCAATCGCTGCTCCTCTGATGAAACCACTCTCGGTTTCTTGGCCTATCAAAGCTCCTGTAAGTGCACCTAGCAATGTGCCCACTGAACATTGAAAAAGGAATCAGCTTTCTCAGCTCCAAGGTTGCAGATTTTGCGCTAAAACAATCATATAAGCAAAAGTCTATCAAACGATCAAATCAATCTAATCAAAGATAAGAAAAATCGGCAGCGCAACAACTATTGGGAGATTGAATCGGATCCATAATCGATTGAATCGAGTTCTAAAAACGAAAGCCGAACCTAGCGCGAAGAAGAAAGTCAAGATCGCGGAGATGATGGTACCCAGAACAGCAGAGACGAGGAAATTACAAGCGTCTTTAATCCGTTCGACGTAATCCCCAAGAGAAGGGCTTGAAGAAAGAGGACAAACCCCAGATTGGAATCTATAAGACGCCATGTTTTCCTAAATCCTCAATCCGTGAACGAAATGATTTTCGGTAAAAGCAGAGGTCCAAGGGAAGCTTATATAGAAGAAAGAGATAGAGAGAGAGAGAGAAGAAGAAGAAGAGGAAGGATTTGCTTAATTGTTAAGAGAGAGGATGCGACGTCGCGCTACTTGCATTTAAGGATCTGGGTATTTAGCTTTCATGGCCAGAATTTGTTTCCCATTGTTGTAGGTGAAGGAAAAATCTAGGGTTTTAAATCTGTCACAGTCACTGCTAAAACAAAAACAAAAAAGTCTCAAGCTTTCATTTTCTTAAGCAGGAGTCAGAGATAGAGAGAACAGTTCACGGGGCAGGAGGAACTATCTTTATTTACTTCATTTTTATTTTGGCAAAGGCTTTTTTGAATATTAAAGATCGTTAATTGTTCTTAACTATCCATTTGCAGTTTGCAATTTGCATTATACATAATATACCTTCATATTAGTATGGTTAAATCAAGCTAACAATTTTATAAATTTTATACTAATAAAAGTTGAACTTTCTAAATGTGTCCACATAGAATTTAAAATTTCAATTATATTGGTCCACATCAACATTCAAAAATAAGAAAAATTTACAAATTCTAATATTATTGTTGAATAATAAAATTAAAAAAATTTCCAAATTCTAATATTATTATTGAATATGCAAATTAAGAAAGTTTACAAATTCTAATATTATTGTTAAATAAAGAAATTTTGCATAATTTTTTTATTAGTCCACCTCAACATTGAAAATTAAAAAGTTTACAAATTCTATTATTGTTTTTAAAAAATTATTAAAGATAAATAAATTATATATAATAATAATAAAATAAAAAATATTTAAATAGGAAATATTTAAATTTAAATAAGATGTATGAACATATTTAGAGACTCTTACATTAGCATCCAATTTTTTGTCACATATAACAATTTTGAAATTTATTTTCCTGTGTCTGCAACCATATAAAAAAAAAGTTAAGTTTCACTAAAAAATGAGTCATTACAGCATAAAAGAACCGATTTGACTAAACTATATGTTTAACTATTAGCTAAATTACAAAAAATATAATGAAAGGAGATATAAACAAAGCCACTACAAAACGCTTTAATATTGAAAAAGAGACCGTAAAATCTCCAAAGCTTGGCCACCAAATTTGAGAAGAATGATAAATTTCAAACAATCCAAGAAACATGTCAAGTGACTGATACTCGACACTTTTGAAAAACGAAGCACATAAAATAGCGAAAGAATTTTAATCACGAAGACGAAGGAGATTGAGGTATCCAATGAAGATTTTTGAAATAACATGGCATATGATGGGGTTTTAACAACCTAACTTTAACCACAAATATAACAATTAGCTGACCAAGCAGCATCTGAATACATTCAGTAAGCCTCAAATTAAGGAGGCTTCTAAATCCTATTACTAAGAAAATTTAAAGTTATATGTCTCTAAGAATATCCACATAGGATTTAAAAGTTCAATTCTATTATCAATATTTAAAATTATTTTTTTTTAAATCTATTGTTAACAAAAATTATATTTATAGAAAAATAAAAGTTGAATCTATATGCATCTAATGACATCCACATAAGATTTAAAAGGTCAATTTTATTAAGTCTACATCAATAATTAAATTTAAAAAAATCTAAATTAATTAATTACATTGTTAATACAAAACAATATAAGAAAAATTGTTAATTAAAATTCTTAATAACAGTTAAAACTATATTATTTTCAATATTAAAGTAGGAAAATAGGAAAATATTGAATTTAAATTAGATGTATACACTAATATTTAGTGCTCTTATATTAGCAATAAAAATTTTGTCACATACTATAATAAATTTTAAGTTTTTTTTTCTTTTGTGTGCAACCATTTCAATTAAAAAAAACAAAAATATAGAGCTAAGTTTCACTAAAGAATGAGTTATTACAACATAAAAGAACAAATTTGACTAAACTATTTTTTAAATATTAGCTAAATTACAAAGAATATGATCAAAGGAGATATAAACAAAGCCACTATAAGCTGCTTTAATATTGAAAAAGAGACCATAAAATCTCTAAAGCTTGATCATTGAATTTGAGAAGAATGATAAATTTCAAGCAATCCGAGAAACATGTAGTGATTGATACTTGACACTTTTAAGAAATAAAGCACTGAAAATAGAATAAGAGGCTCCGTCACTAAGGCGAAGGAGACTGAGGTATCCGAAGAAGATTTTTTGAATAACATGGCATCTAATAAGAATTTAACAACCCAACCTGAACCACAAAGGTAACAATTAGCTGACCAAACAATATCTGAATACATTTGGTAAGTTTCAAAACAAGGATGAGAGATCAAATCACTTGCCGCAAGGGACCTCGTGTGGGATCTTCCAACTTTGATTTCTAAATCTATTACTAATAAAAGTTAAAGTTATATGTCTCTAAAAGTGTCCACATAAGATTTAAAAATTCAATTTTATTGGTCCACATCAATATTTAAAATTAAAAAAATTCCAAATTTTATTATTATATCGTGAACAAAAAATATATTTATAGAAAAAAATTTAAAATAGTATTGTTAACAAAATTTTCTATTATTAATAACAGTTAAAGCTATATTATTTTCAAAGCATCCACATCAGCATTTAAAAATTCAATTTTATCCGTATATATCAAAATTGTAAATTAAAAAAACGTTTCCCAATTCTAATATTATTGTTAAGAAAATTAATTAAAAACTAAAGAAATTTTTATTAACAAAAAACAACATGATATTAAAATCTTCAATATCACTGTTTAAGTTACAAATTTAATTTGTTATCTATAATAAAAAAAATATATCATACTTATACAAGATTAAGTTACTTGATTTTAAAGCTTTTCACGTAAAATTTTAAATAATAATATCTAAGATTTATATTCATCTAAATTCTTATTACATATGCAAAACATGTTTTCACATAACCTCATGTAATATATTATGCGAAAATAAACGAAAAAACTACATTTTGTATATTCGATTTGGAATTGCAATAGATTAATAGAAATTTTTAGTTTTTAGTTTTTCAATTTGTTAGTTGTTTTTCTATATTTGTATGTATTAAATTGTATCGGTTTTGCCTACTTAATTATAATTAGAAAAAGTGAAAATAAATATAATGAAACTGAATATAATCATACAAAAATCATTAAAATATATAAATAAGATTGAAAAAAACATATATAACAAGAATAAAAATGAACATGATGAAAAAAAATTTTCATTCTTATTAGAAGAGATGATGTATAATCATTGAAAATTTATTTATTGACAAAAAAATATATTAAATTCACATATTTATGTGATTTTATTCATATCATATTCAACTATTATTTTGGTTTCAAAACTAAAGTTGTTAATCTCAAAGTAAATATTTTATTTATTAGTTTGTTTTTTAAATTAATAAATCAAAACAAAATTTTGTATTGTTAAAAAAGAGCAGAAAAAATTAAATTTTATTTTTATTTTTATAAAATAACACATATATAATTGAAATAAAAGTGAAAATGATGAAAAAATATTTTTTTCTTTTAGATTTAAAGAAGTGAATGTATAATATTTTATCATCATGTCAATACTATGTTTAAAAAGTGGCATTTGATTAATTTGTAAAAATTTTAGGTAGTTTGAGTATATTAATTTATAAGTGTTTGATAAAATAACACATTTTTGAAATACGACATATATAGATTCAAAACAAAACCATTAAAAGATCAGCCAATTTAATCAGGAAAATAATCAGCCAATCACAACCTCTTATAATGCCAAATTACTTCCACCTTATTAAACGATTTATCTGCAACTTTACAAAACTTTTACAACTCATGCCCTAAAAATAAGTCCAATGTCTAACAAATTACACACGATCACGGAAGACGAATCGATAAAGGCCCAATTTTAAAAGCCCACATTTGAAGTCCAGCCCACATAGAAAACTCAAATCAAAGATCAATTCATCACTTTCATCGCTACTTTTCTGACCTAAAATTCTGAAACTATTCTTCTTCCCTCTCTCCAATACATCTGAAACAAAAATCATAGCTCAATAAAAGGTATCTTCCGTTACAAATGAACTTCAAACTTAATCACCCCACAAACTCCATCTCATCCCACATTCTATTGTTATAAATACCCACTATGTGGAATCTCAAGCATCAACCCTTCTAATAAGTAATAACTCCCACATCGCCACCATCTCTCCATCCTCTTTATATAGAACTTGCTCAACCCCAAAATACAAGTCACAAAATCTGCTTACACAACGTATACGTTCACAGTCATGGCATCCTCTGGCTCAAATCCTCAACCAAAAATCCACCGCCACGTCTTCTTGAATCATGTCGATTCCGGTGTAAGCAATCTATGTACTTTACGCTCTTTTTTTAATGGTTCTATCAAAGAATTTCTCATTTGGGTGAATCGTACTGAATATGAGATTTGGAATTTCGTTTTGAAATTTTGCAGCTTTACCGGTTGATATTGAAGAGGCTTTTCATGAGCAAAGTCAACAACAACACAACACTTTCTATATTTTGGATCGTGAAATTCATGAGTCTGTGCCTCACTCTCTGTACCTTATATGTTGAATTAGTCCTTGAGTCTCTTCCATTTCTTTAGAATCAGTTTTCCAATATGTGAACTAAAGTCGTTACAGTTTATCTAAACTTAGTCTGCAATATTTAGCCTTCTAATATTTGATTGGATTTCTCTTATCTAAGACCATATTTAGTCTACGCTATGAGTTCTGAATGCGTTTTTTGTGTTTCGATACTATAGGAATATTAGATTCCTGTCTTGATTGGAACTGTTATCGATGATTTGAAGGTACACAAGATTCCAACTATCAAAGTAACTGTCGTGAGGTTCACAGAGAGAGTCTCGCATAGAGAAAACTGATGGCGAGTGCTTAACCTTTCACCTTTCACCAGCTCGCCCTCAGAGCTCCATGGGCTAAAACATGGTATTTCTCTAACCTAAGACATAATTAAATTACCTTATGGAACATGTTTTGGCTGGTAGGCAAATCCATAAGAAAGGGGTAAAAGTGGTTCGAGTAGAATATATGTTGTGTGAAATGAGTTGTAAAGATATGGTCATCCATCATTTTAAATGAGCTAGAAATCAACCTTGAAGTGGTTTGAATCTATTGATGTCTTAACGTATAATAATATGCTACAAATGGGAAAATTGATAACATACTCATCATTGTCAAAGAAAATCTTTGTAAAACGAACAACAAGAACTTTGTTCAGTTAAATCTACAAAAAAAAACTGATACCAATCATATATACTTCTTGATAGATCTTTGCTTTGCTAAATCCTCACAAAATGTTAGAATACAGAAACATTTAGTATTTAATACAGATTCAAACATGGTCACTATTTAGTATTTGATCTCAGTATATGGCTTCTGAGAAATATAGAGGAAACAGAAACATGAAGTTCATATGGTAGGTGTGGTGATTATACAACTTGGACGGAAAAGAAAAAAGCAAGCTATCTGAAGATGTTTAATAAAGATAAAGCTGCTATGAATTACCACAGAGATAGCAGAATGATAGATTGATGGTTAATGGTGAATATAAAAAGTGAAAAATCATTGGAAACTGTAGCTGATAAGTTGAGAAGCGGTAAAGATAAGTTGAGAAGCGGTAAGGATATATCAAAATCAGTGAGGTCTTAAGCTTAGAAAAGACAAATAAGAAATTTTTCGGGGTCCAAGTGAAGATGGAAAATGATGGAGTTAGCTGATGGTGTGATAGGAGTAGAGAGATTCAAAATTAGAGGATATGGCTAGAGTTCATAACAAATTTGATGGTCAAAAGTTAAGTGCAAGAACACTTAGTGAGCTATTATTACGATTTATAAGGATAATAAAAAAATCATAAGTAAGAGATGAGAGATCGGGTATTCTCTAAGAGAAACCACATTCTCTTATAAATACATTAATTATGCTTTGGCATTTGGAAAGTTAATTGAAGTTCATATTCATATGGTTATGCAGGCACAAATAGGAGTCAAAAGAATTGAAGCTAAGATGCTATAAAAAAAAAAAGATGCTATAAAACAGTGTAGTATTCATATGGTTATGCAGGCATAAATAGGAGTCAAAAGAATTGAAGTTAAGATGCTATAAAAACAGTGTAGTACACTAGTTGGTCTTCCTGATTAAGATTGATGTAAGTAATATAAAAAAATGGTAACTGCCCAACTTTTTTGCATTTACATAATTTTTTGTAAGCTTTGTTTCAAGATCAAAATTTTCCTACTAAGATATACAATACTTGACGGTTGAACACTCTTCTATATATCTTAGTGCTAATAATGTCAATAATGTAATTAAGATATCGTTTTAATTTTTATAGAAAAATGTCGAAGCTCTAGCTTTTGGAGCGGATGGTGTAAGTTGAAGATGAGGCGTTTATTTTGATGGTGGATACGTTTGGTTTTTCTGTATTAGTTGTTGATTTGTTGGTTATTGTAAATATATTAAATCTGTTTAAAACTATATGTTAAATTTTAAAATAAATATTGTCTCAACTGTATTAATATAGTATAGATAAGAGAAAATCTACTTAAACTTAAAGCATATAAAGTTCAAATTTTGTTTTGAAATTTCAAATCTTCAAACAGACAATATTATACATTCCCTAGATATCAAAGCTATGAGTAATTTGGTTTAATTGGTTGTTTCACTCTTTCATATTGATTAATACAGGTAGTGAAAACAATTTTAACATTTGAAAATAGTTAAGTTATTTTATTGTAACATTTTCTCTTCTAAAGTCTACTTCTAATTTTGTAAATAAAGGTTTGGGTTTACAATATATAGGGTTTAAATCTACTAAAGTGATATTTCACATTTAAAGCATTCGAATTAATAGGATTGTTTTTAAAAATTTAAAAGTTGCTATCATTTATTAGTAAAAATGACATATTTTAAAACTAAATTAACAAAATCTATAGAAACATAATCCGCGCGTAGCACGGAGCAAACCCTAGTTATATAAAAAGGAATTATGGATGACATGCATCATATTAAAAGATTATTGAAAAATTAATTGAGTTCACTGGTTTCAATCCACTAGTTAAAGAAAAATAGTCATTTGATTAGATATACCTGTTTAACCACAACGATATTTATATAACAACTATAATAAGCATGCCCTTAAGTTGATCATAGAATTAGGTTGCTGTCAAACAAACAAAAGTTTATATAACTTTGGCTAAACAGATTCCAATACTTAATGAAAACAAATTGTATAAAAGCTTACGAATTTTGATGATACCAGAATTTCTCAAAACAAAAAATTGTTAAGAAAATCACATAAAAGCAATTACTATGGCTTTTGTTTACTTTAAAACAAAAAAAATAGTAGTAGTTGCCAAAAATTGGTAAGATTTGTGTATTATTCGTAATAGAATACTTCGGTTCACTGTTAATAAATTATCATATATTTGGATAGTTAGGAAAAATAAATTCAAAATTCAAAATAACATCACACCAAACCATCATTCACTACTTTGACATATGACTAAGAATATTCAGAACACCACCACGTTCAACTAGAACACCACCACGCTCAACTAGAACACCACCACGCTCAACTGCCGGCATATAGAGAAGCCAGTTTCAGTCATGCACTTGGAGATTAAAAATATGATTCATGTTGCAGCTGATTTCATCATGTTGTATAACCATGTTGCATAACCATGTTGCATAACCATGTTGTATAACCGACCCTTCTTCCCAGTGGAGGAAATGGCTTCCGACAATATTAGTGTCTAAACTTATGGTTTTGTTTATTTAGGATTAGGACGTATATACTTTTTTTTAACTTCTTTTATAAAAAAAATCTTTGACTTTCTGTTTGGATTACGAGTTTTCTTCAGCAGCCAATTTTTTAAACAGAAGATTTGGTGGTTCTATGAAATATGAGTTATCTCTAAATGAAGATTTGTAAGTCAAAACATCATTTAGATCAGATATGATCAGGTTGAAACAATTTTAATATGACAGCTAACTGAAATTGAGTTTCGAGTTAGTTTTATTCAATATATGTTTTCTTTAGGACAAATCTCATTTATTGATTAATAAGATAAATACGCACGAGGAATCATTCTGAAACCAAACAAGTCTCGTGCTTTTGTGTTATGCACGAGGAAGTCAACACAAACATATATGTACATCTATATATTTTTTTTGAACAAAATATGTACGTCTATAATTAGAAGAACACAATACTTTGTATACACACTCACATATTTGATCTTTTGTTATTTTATGATTATATTCTAGGCTGAGATCCGTAGATTCCTCCAAATTCAAAAGCAACGCATGTTATATGATATTTTTATTCAACTGCTAGTATTAGTCTCTATACTTCACATTATATATATTTTCAGTTGAGTTAATGACTATTGCTCTCTTTTGTAATTTTGTTGTGTACATCCTAGCTTAAATTACTGTATTTATAAATGCATACATAGATAATAATTTTTTTAAAAGAAAATACTGTACATTGAAAATTAAACTATATATAATTGCATACATAGATTATAAATTAAGTGTTAGTCCTAATTAACATTCTTCATTAATTATAAATTCAATTGCTAACCACGAAATGATAAAAAGACTAAAATCTAGATGTATATCAATTCAAAACAAAAGTATAAATGATCGATCTTCAAAACTGAACAAGAATGGATCGAGTAACTTTGTAAGACTAACACATCTTCTATGCACATGACATTTAATACGTATTTTATTTGAATTCAGTGTCAGGACTCAGGAAAAAGGAGGTGTCTATAACTGGCTATCTCCAAGGTATTATTTTATTTCGACTACAATACTACTACATGCAAGTATGTAACATATGGGCTCCCTACTACTAAATACACGATTCTTGAATATAACTATACGTATACGGATACTAATAACTACCTACGCGATTCTGGAATATAATTATACATACACGTATACGATATATCTACAAATATCGGCACAAAGATATTTTCATCGAGATTGTTTTTGTATTTAATCAAATTCCAAGGCCATTGGGACCATAACGGCCCCATACAGACATCACAAACTCACAGCTACTAAAATAGTCAATATCAAAGGAAAAATAGAATAAAGAATCAGTAGAGATAAGAATGGTTTTGTTTGTGTCTATAGTGTCATGTCGTAATGTACGTGTGTTCACGAAAGAGGAGACATCTGTTCGTGCCCGCTTTAACTCTGAAAGTCGGAATTAAAGAGCTTACACTGCTTATTTGATAAGGATATAAATACAAAAGACCCTTTCTTAGAGTTATAAAAAAATGTTGGTTATACAAAAGACACTGATACTCCAGTTCCAAAAACTGGACGTGTTAAATTCTGTAATAATTTGCATAAGAAAGGCATATTAGCGCCGAATGTAAATAGAAAATGCATGGTTGTATTAAATTATCAAAGTTATAAAACTCAGACTGAACATGTAAAGTTACAAAAGGTTCAAATAGTTTAATAAGTAAAGTAGAAAAAGTTCAAATATCCCTCATGAAACAAAAAAAACAGCCTCCAATTTCCTAAGGATCTCTCTCACTTCAAAAGGGACGTACAACAATACATCTGTTTTAACTGTATCAACACAAATTTGGTCTGTCGGGAAAACCTACAAAGATAGATAAAAAGGGAATTTGAGGTTGAAGATAATGACTTGATGCAATCTTGAAGATGTAATTAATAGATAGTTCAAGAGTTGATAGATTTACCTCCTCAAATTTGAACTTTCTTTTTCTTAAACCTTGAACTCGTGGACATGGAACCATTTCGTGGAAGACCATTTGTTTCCTTTCACCACTGGACATCCACCTGAAAATCAAACCAGAGGATATTGAAATTTAGAGATTGAATATAAGTATTATCGGTGAAAGCAAAAAGAGAGTTTTTGGTTGTTGAATTATCTTCACCGTGCAAACTCGACGGGTCTAGAGAAGCATCAGGTCTCATGTTCCAGAAAAGTAAAGCATCTCGCTTCTTTGGTAGAACAGAGAGCCCTTCTTTGCCACATTTTGACAGCTCGTTCCACCACGGGACTGCACTAATGTTTCCTTTTGCTGCCGGGAACACAGTCTCGCCACCATCATCAACATCCGAGCTAGAAGCATGGTTTGCAAAAAGAAAGAAGAAACAGATTATGAAATTTCTCTGAGTGAAAAAGAGATGTATGAGATTTTTCTTTTAAGATACTTACAGGTACATAAGTACAGTAGCTATTCGCTGTCCTCCGTTCTTGGTGTTGAATTCATCTAAGAAATAGTCATAGTGAGGCTCATACTTCTGCCCAACTTGGTAGTGAAGAACTTGAAGGCCTTCTCCATTTTCTACAAACAAAAGAGCGATCCACAAACTCACTAATAGTTTTCGAAAGGAACAAGATATCAAGAGTGTCTGCAACTGGTGATCTTAAGATGTTTCAACACTTCCTTCTGCGCATCAAGGTATTGGATAACCAAAGGAAAATGGCACTTACCAACAGGAATGAAGGTGAAATCTGAAATCCTTTTCTCAATCGTCTCGACAACTTCGTCATGTCCTCTTCTAAGAAAAGTTCCTGAGCTCGTCCTTACTCTGCACAGGGACCGTATTCGCGAAATTACCAAACAACAAACCTTCTCACGTGTGAACTAGAAGGGCGAAAGGAAAGAGTGGATTCAAACCTGCTATCTTTGCTCCCACCGGTTTTCTCATCAACCACGGTTGACTTAACCATGCTCGGTTTGGCGAGGCTGATCAGGTGCTCACATTCTTCATTGGTCTAGAGAAACAGCAATGAAAAGAAGCCAAAGATCACATCTCAGAAATTCCAATTGAACAACTCAATTACAAACAAAAATCTCTAAAACCACATTTCCAATTTTTCTCTTGGGTAAATGAGGGAAAAAAGTGCTTTCCTTCCTCTCATTTAGCATTTCCAATGTTCTTCAAGTGAAAATTCAAACAAAGCTCTAGGGCAAAACAAAGCTCTAGGGCAAAACAAAGTCAACTCGATCTATCAAAATCTAGCAATAATCTCTAATTCCAACCATAAGCTATTTTTACTCAACATTCTTCAATAGATGATTGAAGATCTAAATGTAAACTCTATAGGCTAACAAAGCCAGCTCGATCAATCAAATTATTAGCGTAAACAAGTTCTTAGTTTGTCATTGAGAAACATGTCTTTCCTCTCCATAAGCCATTTCTACACAACACTCTTCAATGGAACAAAGTCAACTTGATCAATCAAAACATAGCAACAAAAAGCTCAAATATCCTTATCTTGTCAGACAAGAAAGAAGAACTCCATGAAAACGCATGCAGAAGCAATCTGAGTTCTAATCAAGCAAAATTATCAGAGAAAAAACACGAAATTACCAGGAAATTGTGGTACACAACAGCTCTAGGCTCCCAAGAAATCACTTCAACCCAACGCTCGTTGTTCCCTTCCTCATCTCCATAACTAAGAAAATTTTCAAAAACCCATGAATCGATTTAGAAAATCAATTCAAATTTCAAACAAAAATAAGAAGAGAAAACCCAAATCGTTAACCCTAACCTCTCTCCGCTCTTCCGTACAATGTTGGTCAAATCGTTCGGCTTCGAAGAGTTCCTGTTCGCATTGGGAAGTGACAAGATCCCGAGACCGAGAAGAATCAGAATCACTACGAGCAGAAGGATGAGCACCGTGAAGGCTTGAGTCGATCGCGATGAAGATTTTCGCGGTTGATAACGAAGGTTCTTCGATTTGGGCGCCATGGATTGATTTTGATTTTGTTCTGTAAATTTTCTCTCACTCAAGATCTAGAAGACAACATTGAAGAAGAGAAGTTACAGAGAAGCTTTACAATCTAGTGGATTTGGAGTTTATTTATAAAATTATTGTGAGATTGATTCTCTTCGTTGTTTGTCTTCGTCCTCGCGTATTTGGTAGATAGTTAGATGGATACAGACACTAGGAAGGTGGCTTTGACTTTTAGAATTCCGACTCAGTCTTTAATTTTCTTCTTTTTCTGGTTTTATCCGTGATACTTTTTACTAGTTGAATTTCACCCCGTTTGTTTTGTCGAATTGTGCGACATAATTTAATCGACTACTAAATTATCCAAGATTTTAACTACGCTCATTGTCTAGACATATTTCTCTTTTTTTTTTTTTGAACAAAGAGACATATTTCTCCATATTTAGCATTACGAAATGGAGTTGTTTGAAGTGAAAAGAGACTCTAATTGCAAATTTTGTTGATTCTTTAATTAAGGAACATTTGTATATGATCACTTAAATGATACTGTATATGAATATTATTTCTTTTATGAATATAATTTCCTAATATGAATATTATTTTTAGGAGTAACTTTGGAAGATGTCAAACAGTTAGGTATTATGTAAGAAGAATTAAAGAGGATAAATCTAAATACCTATTAAGATAATAAGTCAATATTAGAAAACAATGGATCTCTCACCATTTTTGTAAGTCTTGGACCATTTGTATAAATCAAATTAATATATGCATACATATATATATATATATGTTTCCAATGTATATTTATTTGTTTGACTATAGATTGAGTTGTGGTAAGAACATGTTCGACATAACGAAAACATGATTTGGTCACTTCTTTATGTTTATTTGTTTATTACAAGTCTTATAATTGTCAAGAAGAGACAACTAATCCAATTCTTATCAACATATATACACTTTTAAGAAAATACAAATCCATTACATACATCCCAAATGAATTCAATATTTTCCTGCCAAACAATAGCCTTTAATATTGTTTAACTGATCGAGATAATATTGTTTTGGTCGCAATCTACTCATAAGTCAGAAGTCTTTAACTACATCCGGGGATGACAATCAGTAATATACTCAATTTGAGATAGTTAGAGATTAATTATTCTTCTGAGATGTATTAATTTTATTATAACAACACCAAAGTACAATAACCTTATCATCTATGGAACAAGAAGAAATTAATGTTCCATAGTAAGATTGAATTTTATTAAACAGTTACAAACCAACAACCACACACCAAAGTCCAGATCCATTAACATAAACTGGTAACACATGTATATACACAGACATAGACACACGCACATAAAAATATATATTTTACAAAACAATTGATGTTGCAGGGATTTTGCTCGTAGTTTAAAAGACATTGAGCGACGTTGCATAGAGAGGAATGCAAGGCTTGAATGTGAAACAGTTTGGCACATAAGAGGAAAACTTCTTTCTCTTCAGTGAATCTGCAGATCCAAGAGCCGGCTGGTTCAAGTATGCGTACTTGCTCTTCGTCCACCTGATACAGGATACACATCAACATTTAAAAAACCAGATAGTTCTTGTTTTAGGCTGGTTCAAGAGATATGTAAAGGTGTAAGATTATATGGATGTGAAATTAAACAGAGACCAGTCTTTTATCCCTTCATGAACTTCGGTTTCCGAGTCCTCCATGTCCAAGCTTTCTTCATAGCGTTTGTAGTCCTCATCCTGCAAATAGATATCGACATCAGAACCACGAGATTCATCGATTGGTTTGATCTTAAGAATCTCCCCCAAGTTACCATAGAAACTTTTATACAAGAAACATCAGTTGATCCTCTTTAATGATCTAACAAACCACTCAAGAATTGTTAAAACTAAAAGGACATACAGAGAGATTACGAGCTCTGACGCGAGCTGCAGACTTAATAGCAGCAAAGAGATGTTCCTCTTCAATGATTTGCTTCTGCCTCCAGAACTTCTTGATCTGTTTATTGGTTATGCTGTCTCCTTCGATCTTTCTTGATCCATATCCTGGAGATGGAGGAAGCGATGGAGGAGGAGGCCGCGGCATCAATGACTTCTTGAAACATAATTTCTCAGACTCATCCATGATCTGCTTCTTCATATTCATACCACACCAACCAAAACACTTTTGAAACTGTATATATACAACAGAAAGATCGCACAAAGAGGACACAAAGCTACTGAATCTACAGATTCTGAATCTAACCTTCAAACTAAAGAGATACACCTGAGATTCTTAAGAGTCTACCAAACCAATTATCAAAGTCTACGTCTACTCTTCCAATTATCTTGTACGTTAAGACAAACTTTAAGCTTGAACTGTGGAAGAAAAAGACAGGTAGATGTAACTTCTAATCTTCATTCAATAATAAAGTAAGCAATTAGGTAATGTAAGGATAATGCAAAATATATGGCCTTGAAGCACCAAATGGTACATCTTTCAATCACAGCCGTTGAATCATGAATGGCCATCGCAATCACTATCACCGAAAGGCCATTCTCATTATGACGTTCTCCATTAATTAACTATTAGTTCTCGTTCTGTTCTTCACTTATACTTTAAGCCGAGAAAGAGAGAAAAAAAAAATTCAAGCTTTAAGTTCCTCGTACGAAAATTCAACTGAATAGTGAAGAGAAGATGAAAAAGATTCATAATTCATTCTAAATTTGAACAATTGAGCAACCATATGATTCACATCGAACGCAAACAAAACAAATATGATCACAAATCCAAGTTAACCACAAACTTGATTATATACATGTGTAGTATATCTTAATTCATATGTAAAGCTTAAAACCTCTGGTTCAAGTACGTTTCAAAAAAAAAAACCTCTGGTTCAAGTAGCTGTTTTTAGGTCTGGGACGAGACTCGAAGCGCCTTGGTTTTGAATCGATACCGAGGAGCACGAGGAACAACCTGACTCGGACCGAACCCGTACTGGCCGATACCGCCGGTGAGCGGCGGACCATCGTCGTAGATGTAGCCGATGAGGTGGCCGCAGCTATTGCACTTGATCTTGGTCCGTTTCCGTTGGATTCCCCAGTAATTTAGGGTTTCGAAAAATGGCATGATCTTGTCCTCTTTCTCGAATCTGAATTTCTCGGCGTCTACGCCGGCGAAGGAGACGGTTCCTTTGTTCCCGGCTTCGAAGTAGAAATCAGGAGGGAACAAATCGTTAGGGTTCAGATTCAGATCCGATTCGCATTCCTTGCAACTGTAGGTCGTGCACGCCATTTTCTGTAATGCTGATTTCTCCAAATCTCCTCTCGTCTATCGTGTTTTTTTCTTCTTCTTCGTCTCCAGAGACGCGTTTCTTCGGTCAGCGCCGTCGGAACTGACTCGGATCTCGGCCGCTGGCATATTGGGCTCATGGGCTAGTAAATAATGGGCTTATATTTAAATGTGTGGGCCTTCCGTAATTTTGTTGTTGTTACAAATATGATTTTAATTTGTGTGTGTTTTTGCTCACTTTTATTTTTGTAAACTTAGATTTTAGCTTAAGCTAAACATTTACTTTTAATTTTTTTGGTTTGAAGTGTAACATTTAAGCTGGAATTTAAACTGTACAGAGGAGTTGTTTTTATGAGACTAATGGCGGGGATGGCTTAGGAAAAAGTTGAGATATAAGAAAAGCGATACATTCAAGGCCTTTGCCAATCGAAATACTGTATGTGTTATTGTTGTCTTGTTAAGTCGTAATGTCGAAGAAACACAACTTTTTGTTTTTTTTTTTGTTTTGTATTTTGTTCTAACATTGTTAATATTTTTGAAAATTCTTCAAACTTTCAGTATAGGTGGACCCATAGAGTATTTTGATATTTAATTTTCTGAGTGTGTTTTTAGTTTGTGAACATAATCTGAGTGTATTTAGTTTTCATTAAATGAATACCAGTTCTTGCTCTTCTTAACTATTTCAAACTTTATCAAAAAAAATACCAGTTCTTGTTGAGATATCAGATTTTAGTGAAACGTCCATCGGAGAGAAATCATCAAATAAGGGTAAGTAATAAATATATATCTCCACATGGGTGTACAATAATGAAAATGAGTCTTGCCACATCGGACTATACTCCGATCTGTATATAAAGCAATTACCACGTAATTAATCTTTTTCTTGTTGTTTCTGACAGTAAAGCCCTAATTCTCTCCGTCTCTGTCGCAAGTCTCTCGTCTCTTTCGAAATGGTAAGGGCTCATCTTTTGTTTCCTTCCTCCAGCTTGATCCTGTTTGATATTTCTGGGTCACTTAACTAATTTCTGGAATTTTGTTTTGTATATTTTGTTCGGCAGGCGAATTCTCCGAGAATAAGGTAGATTTCAATTTCTGTCACTTCGAATTTCATTGCTATTGTGCAAAATCGTTTGTCTGTATAATTCGCTTGACGTATTGTTAGATTTCTCTTGATTTTTGTGCGTTGACATTTTGAGTGCCTTATAATCTCATAGCCCTTTATCGGATCTCTGAATCATTTGTGAATATAATACTTTGTTTAAGGCCCTGATTTTGGATTATAGAGAATGGATTTTGGATTGTGTAGCTGTGTTTCTTATGTTGTTGAGGCTTACTGATATTTGGCTGATTCCTTCACATCATAGAAATGATGAGCTCGTTTGACGAGAGATGTTAGAGTTAACTAATGTCTAGATTTAAGGTGTAAACTTAAGATAAAGTCAAGGTAGGATTCAAAGTTTGTGCTTGTTTTCTGCTTCAGGGATTCGAGATCTCCTTCACCTCGGAAAGAACTGTCTAGGTCTCGGTCCAGATCAAGATCAAGATCCTGGTCCAGACCTAGGTCTAGGTCAAGGTCAAGGTCCGTCCCAAGGCCTAGATCAAGATCAAGAAGCCGAGGAAAGTTAGTTGTTTTGTTTACTTTTGCAGTTCTTAGCATTTCATTAAGAACACTCTGTATATGCTCGCATGCTAATCTTACGTTGGTGACCTATCCTTTCCAGGTCGAGGTCGAGAAGCCGTGGAAGGTTAGTCATTACTTTTCTCTCTTCACCAAAGTACCTGTAATTGGTTATCTGTTAACTGAATGTATTTTTGGTTAGCAGAGCTGAAACCGAAAACCCTGGAAATACTCTTTATGTGACTGGCTTATCCACAAGGGTTACTGAGAGGGAGCTTGAAACCCATTTCTCCAAGGAGGGAAAGGTAAAATATTGACCAAAGCTTGATCCTCCTTACTCATATTTGGTCTTTGAACCTTTTTTAATGAGTTGGTTTTTCGCAGGTTGCGTCTTGCTTTCTTGTGGTGGAGCCACGCACTCGTGTGTCTCGTGGTTTTGCCTTTGTTACAATGGATAGCTATGAGGATGCTGACCGTTGTATTAAGTACCTAAACCAGTCTGTTCTGGAGGGCCGATACATAACTGTTGAAAGGGTAAAATTTCTTACTATTGAATCTTGGTGTCGAGATACTATGAGTTTGATATCATTATTGTTATGGCTATTCAGAAAATGTATTGCGTCAGCAACCAAAAGATGACGAGGTCATCATCCTTAAAGTGGCACAAGCTTAAACAGCTTTTTCAAATGATCATGTTCAACTAAATCAAATATTGCACAACATCTATACAACCTCAACTCTCAACTAATCAATGGACATTAACAACAACTTTTAATGAAGGGTTTTCATGGTATTTCTAGCTTTTTTTTTTTTGCATACTCATTGGTTAGCATTCATTCATCTTAGTTTTTTCATTTCGACAATAGTGCACCTGGTCGGATATATATTTTGTTTCTTGAACATACTCTGTTTTTTCTTTGTTGAATCTGTCTCCATTGCTTATTGGTTCATATACTTTGATACTCTTTTCTACAGTCGCGGAGAAAACGCCCAAGAACTCCTACTCCAGGGCACTATCTTGGCTTGAAAAGCGACAGGGATTATGGTAAAAGCTGGTGTCAAAACTTTTCTAATTAGGGGATGTATGAATGCTTTTAAACACATGACTAATAACTCTTTTCAGGTGGTCGTGATCGTGATCGTGACCGTGGAAGACACTATGGGCGTGATGATTATGGACACCGTAGGTCACCAAGACGGTCTCCGTTGAGAGGAAGGCGTGATTATTCACCTCCTCCTCGTCGAGAAAGGTCGAGGAGAGATCGGTCTTACTCTCCTGAAGGAAGTCCAGACAGGAGGAGACACTACCGTGGTTCAAGGTGAGCTATTTTATCTGGTCTTGTAATTGAACATTGCTAGAATTAGCAACAACAAAAAAAGGTTCTTGCTCTCTCGGATGTTTTGTCCTTATTTCTTTTGTGTTGTGGGTTTGGATTTGTACGCTTGACAAAAAAAAAAAAGGACTTTAAACATTATTTTATATGTTTGTTTGTCTGTGTTTTAGTTAATCCTGTGTGTTGATTTCAACAAAGCGTATTGATTGGGACCAAGAGTTCTACGTAGTTGTTTTTGACTACTACAAAAGAGCTCGTACATGTCACAGCCAGAACCAAAAAAATTTTGCTATCAAAAACACAAGAGATAGAACCGACAAGAACGATAAAAGAAAACATCTAAACAAGTCACTCTAACTTAGATTGAATCGCATTATACGTATCGACATTTTATGATATATACACACGCACGTGTATTTGTTTATATAGATAATGTATATGTCAATGTCGGCATATTCCTTCAGAATAATTCCTAGGATCTCATTTTTATACTTGCTTCTTGATTACTTAATCACAATTACTAGGCTATCATTAATGAACCATAAGTAATTGTTTTCGATTTTTTTTTTAATTATTAATGATGTCGATACCGTTGACAATCTAATTCGTTTAGAGTGTTATTTTAGAATTAGAAGATGACAACGAACATTATATATATTTGGTGGAAAACATGTCTTATCGGACAGAGCGACTAACTCCGGCTCTAGTGTCACTAGATTTAGGTTTTATTTTATGATATGAGGGCTGTTCTGTAAAGTCCATAACATTTACTCAGATTTTTTTTTCTTTAAGATGAAATTGGTTTGTTAGATATAAAATTGACAAAGTTATAATTCAAAAAAAAAAAAAATTGACAAAGTTAGAAGTGCTATACACTGCATATCAGGGCTTGGATCCAATGTGTGTACTGGTTTAAACAGATTTTAAAATTTTTCTTTAAAGGTATTTCAGTTCTAACTTTCCTCTTAAGTATTTTTTTGGAATACTATGTAGAAATTTTTCTATAGTGCAATAATTTAGATTCATTAGCACCATTATTCTGAAGTATAATTGTATTGCATATTAATGAATATACAAATAATAAACAAAAGAAATGGGCACTAAATAGTATATTTAACGTTTTCAATAGACTATTTTCGAACTAAAGAATTGGTTCTAGACAGTGTAGTTTATGTAGACACTATTTAGTTTATTTAACTATTTGAATAGATAAAAAGATTCAATATTTGAGCTCCAAATAGTTGGGATGACCGAATCACTTCCGCAAAAGTGATACAAGAATGGTCAGTTTGTATTATGATGAACAGTTGGTATAGTTGACATATTGAACCTTGAATTTACAATAGTAAATTAAAAAAGTTTATTTAGTTTCAACCACTTCTTTAAAAATCATTGAAGTGACTAGGACAATCTTTTATACTAATTCTTTTACAAATCTAGTAAAATCTTTTTAAATTTAGATACTCAAATGCGACTTTGCATATGATTTCTGAATATAAAATACATCATTTGAGCTATAAAATATAAAATACATCATTTGGTTCATCTCTATTTTTATTTTATTTTGGTTCTCTAATTTTAAAAAAGGTACCACTATCCAGTATCCACTTAAAGGAAAAAAAAAAAACGAAAATAAGTGGGCGTATTGTGACCCACACAAAAGTGGTCCCTACATAATGACGTGGCTGTTCCCGACGTGTAACACACCGTAACGTTTCTCTCCTCACTCTAAGCCCAAGGATCCCTCTTTTTCTCTCTCGATTTCTCTCTTTAATCTCTCTAATCCTTTTCTGTTTCGCGTTTATAAGAATCTCTGAAGATTTTCTCTCTCTCAAATCTTTCTCATTCTTAATAGCTCGCATCAATTTTCTAGATCGCGTATCGGATTTTGAGAGGTTTTTCGTTTCCCAATTCGGTATCCATGGTGATCACAGACGAGTCGGAGAGTTGCGGCAGCAGAGCCGTCGTCGCTACGCCGTCCCTAGAAAACCCTAGGCATTACCGGATGAAACTTGATGTCTACAGTGAGATTTTACAGCGACTCCAAGAATCGAATTACGAAGAAGCTACTCTTCCTGATTTCGAGGATCAACTCTGGCAACATTTCAATCGTCTTCCTGCTCGGTCGGTAATCAAATGTTCTTGTACATTGATTCGGCTAGGGTTTTCGTCTATCTTTGGATTTTAGGATAAGGGTTTTGTTTTCGGGCGTAGTATCTTCCAGAATCTTGCAAACCTCTTTTTATCTTCTGTTTGTTTTTGCTTAAGAGTATTCAATTTCTTTCTAAGGTTTTGTATATGTTCATCGAAAGCGACTGATCTTTTTCTCTTTCTCTCTTTGACTAATTTTGAAATGAGTATGTTGTTGACGAAAAAAACTGATAATCTTTTCCGCTTCTTAACACGTGTCTTGACCCAAAAACTATCAACTGAATGGAGTTTCTTTGGTTTGTTAGTATCTTTCTCTCCCACTTCATTGTTTTGGTATTTCGTTGCATGTTACTGTTATTTTCCAGATATGCTCTCGATGTTAAAGTTGAGAGGGCAGAAGATGTTCTCACGCATCAGAGATTGCTCAAATTAGCGGAAGATCCTGCAACTAGGCCTGTATTTGAAGTTCGTAGTGTTCAGGTAGTAAAAGCAATTCTAGCGTTTAGGTAGTGATACACAAAGTTTCTAGGTTTCTTTTGCTTTGGTGTGTTAATTGGTTTCTCTTGCACTCTTTCTTGCAGGTTTCTCCCAGAATTTCTGCTGACTCTGACCCTGCGTTGGAAGAAGATGCTCAGAGCTCAGGGCAGGGGTAAGGACTTCTGTCAAACTGAGATCGACCTTAAACCATTTTTCATCATTGTAGTTTCTTTTGAATTTTTCGCTTTCTTCTTGTTTAAAGGATTCTTGCACCTCCAACTTTTGGTTCATCTCCAAATTTTGAGGCTATTACTCAGGGAAATAAAATTGTTGAAGATGTTGATAGTGCTATTAATGCAACATTGACTACTCGGTGAGGTTTCTTCTTAAGCTGTGTTTCTCTGAATTATGTTTATGTTCATCATGTTTGCGACTTTGCGTATACTTTTTAGAACGTAATTGTAGGCTCTTGCTTGATTATAAAACTTTTGTTGGGTTTGTTGCCTATTTTGCAGACCGATGCACGAGATCACATTTTCAACCATTGATAAGCCTAAACTCCTTAGTCAGGTTGGTAATACTTTGCCACAGTTTCGCTGCTTCGTTACAGACTTTCATGCGGATTGCAGAGGGTTTTCTTCCATTGTTTTCGTGAGAGTTAGTTTGAGAAATTGTTTTTCTGTTTCAGCTTACTTCCCTGCTTAGTGAGCTTGGATTGAATATTCAAGAGGCTCATGCTTTCTCTACTGCGGATGGTTTTTCTTTGGATGTTTTTGTTGTTGATGGTTGGTCCCAGGAGGTATAATCTTAGCTTTTTGAAGCATCCTGCTCTTTGTTGCTTAGTGAATGCCTTAGCGAGATCTTGAGTACCTATAACTTTTATCTCTTGTTATCACTAAACTAGTTGAGAAAATTTGTGCACTTTGAATTTATAGGAAACAGATGATCTAAAAGATGCATTGGGCAAGGAGATACTGAAGCTTAAGGTAGTTTCCATATCTTATGTTCATGAGATGAGAGATGCGTTGGTTCTCAAACTGAATATGGAGGCTGCAATAATACATCTTTAGAAAATGGCATACCTATTTGTTGTTGCAATATTTTCCTTCCAACGTTTGACATCTGCCCGTCTATATTTGGCTATGTTATACAGGATCAACCTGGTTCAAGACAAAGATCTATTGCTTTCTTTGAGCATGACAAATCAAGCAACGAGCTGATACCCGCCTGCATTGAAATACCCACGGATGGAACCGACGAGTGGGAACTTGACGTGAAACAGCTGAAAATTGAAAAGAAAGTGGCATCTGGTTCATATGGGGATCTGTGAGTTTATTGTTCTGTAAGCTTGTTTTAAATAGCTGCAAGTTTTTTTGTTTGAAAGTTATAATAATTTGTTTTTGTTGGCTGTGCAGGCATAAAGGCACTTATTGCAGTCAGGAAGTAGCTATCAAATTTCTCAAGCCTGAGCGTGTAAACACAGAGATGCTTAGAGAATTTTCTCAAGAAGTTTTTATCATGAGGTCGGTGCAATTATTTCTCATCATCCTGTTGAATACATATTCCCATAGTAACTGACGTTGATATTCCCTTCCAAAATCCAAGTCATAGTTTATGTACAGAAAACATGCCTGAGTGACCCCCTTTTTCCACTTACTTTTATATTCAGGGCAGGCTTGAATTTTGATAGTCCTTTTCATACGTTTTGCAAGTTGTAGTGATTTTTGATTTTTTTTTAAAACCTTCATATGCTGTATAAAGTAACCATCATGCAGGCTTCATTATTGTCAGTGTCAGTTTGTGACTGATATTATTACTGTCTGTAGGAAAGTCCGACATAAAAACATCGTTCAATTTTTGGGTGCATGCACAAAATCTCCAACCCTCTGTATTGTTACTGGTAAGCTCTCAGTAGATACAAATTTGAGTCGTAAAAAAAAAAAAAAACACGTCATTTGAGTTAATGAGTTGTATCTTCGTGTCAGAGTTTATGGCTCGGGGGAGCATTTACGATTTTCTTCACAAACAGAAATGCGCTTTCAAACTTCAAACTTTGCTTAGAGTTGCACTTGATGTTGCAAAAGGAATGTGCTATCTGCATCAAAACAATATCATTCACAGGGACCTTAAGACTGCAAATCTTCTTATGGATGAACATGGAGTACGTTTTGTTCTCTCTCTGACTACTCTTAGTTTAGTCAACAAACATGTCTTTACATTCTATCTCTGCGAACTTGTTTTATTTCTACTGGAAGCAACAGACTCTCTAAGGTGTAATTTTGCGCAGCTTGTCAAGGTTGCTGATTTCGGAGTTGCAAGAGTGCAGATTGAATCAGGGGTCATGACAGCTGAAACAGGGACTTACCGATGGATGGCTCCAGAGGTATATTTACGTGTTTGGTCTGACTTGCTTTACCGATGGATATCTGGCTTTACGTGTTTGGTGTGAAAAAAAACCTTTTCGTATCTACGCAACTTACTGCATCAGTCGATGGTGGTGTCCTGGCTCTCTCCTTTGTTTAATCTCGCACTTTCTTACTTTGACAATATACTTCCGAAACCCAGGTCATTGAGCACAAGCCTTACAGTCACAAAGCAGATGTGTTCAGTTATGCGATAGTACTATGGGAACTATTGACTGGTGATGTAAGAATCTGCTTACAATTCTTTCTCGGGATCTTTCACGCTAATCAAATATACTGATGTGTAGCGTGCATTTTGTAAATGAAAACAGATCCCTTATGCTTTCTTGACTCCACTACAAGCGGCTGTTGGTGTTGTGCAGAAGGTATGTATTTTAATGAACTTTGCATTCAAAGTTTTTCTCTTCCTAAAGAGGCTAAGTAAGCTGAATTTCCTTTTCTCCAGGGGCTTCGACCGAAAATTCCAAAGAAGACGCACCCAAAAGTTAAGGGACTTCTGGAGAGATGCTGGCAGCAAGACCCAAATCAAAGACCAATCTTTGAGGAAATCATAGAAATGCTTGAACAGATAATGAATGAGGTAAACGTCGTGTAATGTGATCCGAGTAAAAACCCCTTACACGAGGCGAGATTTTCTCAGAGCAAGATGTGGTGAAAACAAGCAGGTTCCAGAAGAAGACCCGAGCGAGGACAAACAGTGTGTTAGTTTCTTTCAAGCCTTCAGAAAGCCTCGTTACTAGTTCTGATCATCTTCAACGATAAACTCACTCAATCGCATTCTCCTTACATTTTCTAGACATGTACAGTTTTTGTCATTTTGGTGTGGAGGACCTTAGTTTTGACCTTAGGGAGTATTTTTTTTCTCGTTTTTAGTCCTACTCTTTGATGATTCTTTTCGACATAGAATCCCTCCACACTTTTTCCTTTTATGAAAAAGAAAGTTTGCGTATTTCTATGAGAGCAGCATTGTTTTTTGGATGTTACATACTTTCGAATCTTGGAATTTTCACAAGAACAAGGGATAAAGCTTTGATGATCATTATAGAAATGAAAAAAAAAAAAAAAAAACACTTGGCTTTACAGCTTTCTCGTCGTTTGAGATATTCATTGTCGAACACCGTGCCGTTCGCTATGCATACAAACGATGAAACCGAAAAACTCAGAGCTTCGATAACACACGACTCAGATTTGTGAAGCATACAGTTTCTTCTCTCTTCACGTCTCTTATCACTCCCAATTTCGAATTTTCAATATCTCAAAGTATGGCCTTTTAATTTACTACCTTCAAAAACAACTGGTTCTCGCTCTTTTAGTTTCTGGTGATTGTGGGTCTGTATCATTCCTTGTGGAAGAGATGGTGTTCTTGAGCTGGGGCCGTCCATCTACGGAGCAACAGCAACAAGTGATCAACAAGTAAGAATCAAAATCATAAATTTGCAACAACAAACAAAAAAAAAGATAAACCTTGCAGTAGAAAACTCTCTCTTGAGTGTATGAATGGTGTGTGTGATTTGTAAAATTCAGAGCAGGAACGTTCAATTATGTCAACAAGTACCAAGGAGCTTCGTCTAGGTCAATAGCTAAGCTAAAGGAGGATTCAGAAGTCGATAAAGATGGATTCTTGATCAATCATTCTCGGGTTTTAGTGGGTTCTGGTAAAGAGAGTTTCGAGAAGGGGAAAAAAGCTCTCCAGAATTGGAAGTAATGTTTTGCTGAATTCAACACCATGACAATGAATCGGTTCTTGTTTCTAATTGTTCAAATTAACGAAAAATTGCAGGCATTTTGGTATGAATTGGGCATTTGTTGATCCCACAACTCCTGTTGAAACCGGTAAGAAGTTCTGCATCTGTGTGAAAGAAGTTCTTCCATGGGTGATGCTTCCTCTGCAAGTGGTTTATGTCGATGAAAGCCGGAAATCTAGAAAAGGCCCTGCACATTTCGGTTTCGGGAGCGGGACTCTTCAGGGACATTTACTAGCTGGAGAAGAAAGGTTCTCGATAGAGCTTGATGGTGATGGTAAAGTATGGTATGAGATAACTTCCTTGTCAAAGCCTGCTCATTTCTTGTCCTTCCTTGGATATCCTTACGTGAAGCTAAGGCAGAAGCACTTTGCTCATCATTCCTCTGATGCAGTCTCGAAACATCTCAATGATTCATCATGAAGACATTTACAGTAAAACATGGTTGCATCTTCTGTTGTATTCGATTTGTCTATACCGAACAAAATGAAGATGAAATGTAAGCTTTTTATTCAGATGAATTGTACTCTTAAAGTATGTAGCTTTGAGATAAACAAGATTCAGAGAAAGCTAGGAAGAAACATTTGTAAACAACTCTGCTCAACTCTCGTGTTTCTTGTGATACTACCATTATCTACCTTGAATACCTAAATCTCATGTTCCCTGTCGGCAAAGTAGATACTAGAACCGAGAAACAGCCATCGCTAGCCATCACAAAAGCATTGTCTCCTGAATCAATTTTGAGCTTAGGTTACAGGATAGTCTTCTAGTCCTTGAAAATGTAGATTAATGAATGGAATCTGTCTTTATTGCCATTACCAAAATGAGAGATTACCAGATGCATTATAGAGCTAGGTTAATGAGTGACTCTCTTACTCAAACCACCCTCACAACAATCTCAACCAAGAGTTTAGTGATTCTTTCTTTGCAGAAAACATTAGTTATTCAATTTTGGTATTTATCTAACCTTTTTCTTAAAAACATGATCTATTAAATTCTTGAATTCTTTTCCTATAATGTAAACGGTTGCGGTAAATAGATCGCTTGCAAGCTGCAAATGTTAGCATTTGTGAGAATCTATTCCAAATGAGACAATATAGTTTGTTGTCGACTAAACTCATGAAATATTGCACCTTATCTTCATTGAAAACCAATTTGTAAACCATATAGAGAAGATTGTGTAGGACCAAGAATCACAACACTGACATACCAAGTAGTCACATACTGTTTCTTTTATTAATAAAGAAAATGCATTTTAACCTAAGAGCTGCAAAGGTCTAATAACAAAACTCCATTAACTAAAGCTGCATAATGCAAAGTTCTAATAACCGCATAACATATGCAAATGCACAAAACAAAACCCACACATGCATAGCCACTGCATGTAGTTATCTTAAATTCCTAATGCACTATCCATGTTATAAAGATGGATACTTGCTGAACACGATCCATGGCCGGGAAAGCTAGGAAGAAACACTTGGAAACAACTCTGCTCAGGTGTCGTTATTCTTGTGATACTACCATCATCTAGCTTGAAGACCAGAATCTCACATTCCTTATCGGTGAAGTATATAGAATTTTCCAAGCAACCATAGAACTCATTAGCCAAAACCGAGAAACCACAGTCAGTAGCCACCAGAAACGCATTGTCTCCCAAAGAATTAACCTCTACCCATTTCCCCAATTCCTCATCCATCTTGTAAACCTTAAAACCGACCGTTTTGGGGCTGTTCAAATCTGTGGATTCGAGATCTGATCGGTGACATATCACGTTCTCAACATCGTCGTGTAACACATAGGCAAAACAACGAACGTGAGGAACATGACCATCCAAGTTGAATCTCTCTCGTGGTTTCTCTTCCAGGAGACGATCCACTATGTAAAGCTCTCCGCAACATTCCACAAAGCTCTTGTCTCTGCAACAGCTATTATTAGTGATGATGCTTTCGTCGAGTAAAGGTCCAAACTTTAAGAAGCTAAGAGATGAGCTGATCCTCCAAACAACCCCTTTGGAATCCAAGGCGTAAGTTAGCCCTTTGTGAACTGTAATGTCGTAGAATTTACCCATTTCATCATCACCACCACCGACTACGACTCTGGTCCAGATTTCTCCGTTCCAGTACCTTATTTTCCCATCCAAGCCGATTCCGACAATCCGAGGATCTCCTCCTGGGACAGAGACAAGAACCACTCTTTTGAAGCCTGGAAATGTTTTCCTAGTTCGAAAGTCTCCGATCGCGTAGGATTCTTGTATCTCCGAGACGGTGAACTGCAACAGATCGAGGCTATGGAAGTTACGAGGAAGCAGTTTGCGCGAAAGAGGGTTTAGGAGACGGAGTCTCCCCGATCTGAGGTCCGTGTCGGATTTAATCAACCAGCTCTTGCTCGACGATGACGACGATGAGGACAGAGCTACGCGGAAGAAGGCGGCGCGTGAGAGGAACGCGCCGCGATCGAGACCGGAGATCTGTTCGTTTCCGGCTTGGTCGATAGAAAATTTGGCGACGAGTGGGTCAAGCTCGATGAGAGGGCGTCTCGGAAAAGGATCTTCGTTGCCAGAAACGGAGGAGCGCCAAGATCTGCAGATGCTGCGAAAACGGAAGAGGTCCACGACGGAGCACAATCGGACGGCGATCATGAAGAGGAGTCTCTCCGGTAACTGAGACCAGTCAACCATCTCTGCTCTCTCTCGATCCTAACGTTTACACTTCCAAAGGCATTGAATTGAAAGAAAGAAGTTGATGAGGATACAATTTAATGCTGACACAAATGCATGCTTTGCCTACTTCACTAGTTCAACAAAAAATTTAGTCTGCATTGGTAAAAGACTAGTCTCTCATCAATATAATATTATTACTTTTTAAAAAATTTAGTTTAAAAAGTTTCTGTTAATTTTTTACCTCTATTGGTGAGAAACTCAATGAGTCTCTCATCTATATAATACTAATTACTAATAATTATATATAATTTTTATAATTTTTTATCTGTCTAAATTTCAAAATCGTTTTCCTAATATTTCATATTAATTTTTTTAAACCAAAACACTAATAATTTATTATTTTTTAATTTTAACAAGTGTTTATTAAATAATATTTTAATATATAATTTAAACATATGCATAATAAAACTTTTTGAATAAATAATTTTATTTTAAAATTTATAAAAAATTTATATATAAATAATTTATTTGACTTTATAAATCATAGAAAATTCAAGTTATATAAATAAAATATTCACCACTCATGAAGAGACATATGTCTCATAGAAAGAGTTCTTAAGAATTTTTCGAGAGTCTCTCATTCGAAAACTGATTCTAAAAAATTTGTGATCAAAATAGTTTTATTATTATTATTATTTATTTTAATTGTAAAAAACTATGTGAGAGATCTTGCAGATGGTCTTAAAAAATTTATTTCTAAAATAAAAAATAATTGTTTCCTAAAAAAAGATTTGTTTCCATTTTTTTTGATTCAAAATGTCCACACTTTTTAATAATTTTTTTGCGACAGCATTTATTTTTAATGAATTTTGTATGTGACAGTTATGATTTTTAAATTTAAGTTTTTTTAAAAAACAATATCTATGTATTATTTTTGATAGATTTATGGTGTTAGTTACACAATTTTAACAAAAGATGTAACATCATGACATTATTTATTTTCAAATTGAAATTTCCTAGAACTACATTCTTCCTTCTTGAAATTCTGGAAAGAGAGAAAAAATGTATTTATAAAATAATTTAACTCAAAACTAAATAATGTCTTGTTACAAATATAATTACATGCAGGTTTTGTAATGTCACTTTGCAATGTTAGGTTTTGGCTCATTCTTTTCTCTTTCCAAGCTATGATGTCAACAAGTCCCAACTAATAGTTATTCTCCATCAAAATTTGGCTTCTCGAATAGCCCACATAGTGAAGAAATGTATAAACGAGAGAGGATTAGATCAAAGTTGGGAAACTCAACACAATCACACGTCTAGTTACGTGTATTCTTACACCTCACGGTAAATCAGGTACTTCTAGAGAGATGCATGATGAAATTAAACCCTAAACAAAGATCAGTCTTTGAGGAAATAATAGAAATGCTTCAACATATAATGAATGAGCTAGGTAAACTTCGGAGTGTGGTCCGAGTAAAAACCCCTTACGACACGAGATTCTCAGAACAAAATGTGAAGTTAATAAATATATATATTGTAGTATGAAAACAAGCAAGTTGGAGATGAGGATGTACTCAGGCAAGGACAATCAACAATTAAGAGATATGTGGCCTAATTATGTAATTAGTTAACTACTTATGTAACTTGCAATTTACATCTTTGTAATTAGGTCATCTATTGTGTATATAAAACAAAGCTTAACATTTAATGAATAAAAAAATCTTTACACCAAACTAAGTTTCTTGACAAGGTATCAGAGAAATGTTAACCTAGTAATTCTGTTGAAGTTTCTTTCAAGCCACGTTACTAGTTCTGATCAGTTTCAACTTTCAATGATAACTCTCACTCATTCACTCTGTTACATTTTCTAGATTCGTAGAGATTTGTTTTATTTTTCTTTTAGTTGGCGTGGCTAATGGGGAGGAACTAGTGTTGACGTAAGAGAGTGTTTTCTCCTTTTAGTCTTACTCATTGACGATTCCTTCTACATTAGAAAACCCTCACATTTTTTTCTTTTACGAAAAATGAAGTTTAAAAGAGTTGTGTATTCATTTGATCTAAATCATTTTAATCTTAATAATACTTTTTATGAGCACACATTAATTTTTGTGATGTTACATATTTTCCATTAATTAATGTTTGTCACATGCACATCCTGCTTGAGCTAGACCAAGACCAAACTCGTATTCAGGCACGTATTAGCCCAACTCAAATATCGAAATACTGTAATGAATTCTTCTTTGTGCTTCATCATACAATACATAACTTCCCGAACCATTTATCTTTAACCATCTCAAAATCAAATCAATCCTCAATTCTTGACTACCAAAACATTGGGTTTGTGTTTATCAGTTTATGTTTTGACTTCGTACAGACATGGGATATATAGCAAGTAATAAATAGACATGCATGTTGCATATATATTTTTTGTTTGATATACCAAAAAAGAAGATGAAAGGTACGGTTTTATTAGATAATGATAGGTATTCTTAATATAAAGAAAATAGCTTTGACACTAAACAAGATTCAATGAAAGCTAGGAACAAACATTTGGAAACAATCCTGTGAATATCCCGACATTGTCATAATACTACCATCGTCTAGCTTGAACACATTAATCTCATATTCGTCCTCATCAGAGAAGTAAATAGAGTTGGGCAGACATCCGTTGAATTCATGAGTCAAAACCGAGAAACAAGTATCAGTAGCCATCACAAGCGCATTGTCTCCCAAAGACTTAACTTGTACCCATTTCTCCAATTCTTCATCCACCTTGTAAACCTTGAAACCAACCATTTTGGTATAATAGTTTCTTTCTGATAACTCGCATCTCGTGATCCCAACATCATCGTGTATCACTTTGTAACTTGGAGGATAACTTTGACGATTCACTGACCTAACTTTTATTTTCTGAAGATTATCTTCAAGGAGACGATCCACAATGTAAAACTCTTCACAACACTCCACTAAGGTTAAGTCTCTACAAGAGTCATCAGTGATGTTTTCATCGAGTGAAGGTCCATACCTGTAGATGTCGAGAGATGAACTAATCCACCAAACAATCCCATTCGAATCCAAGGCGTAGGCTAGCCCTCTTTGGACTATAATGTCGCAGAATCGAGCAACTTGGTCTTTGATTCTGGTCCAGATTACTGCGTTCCAGTACCTGATCTTCTCGTCACAGCAGACTCCAAGAAGTCGTTAGAACCAATCTTTTGAACCCAAAAGTTTGTTTCTTCTTTAGCCAGTTTTGAACAGTATAGGCTAGTTGAATCTCAAGAACTTTGAATTTGGTAAGGTCAATATTTTCACACCACTGACGCAAGGAGAGGCGCTAAAGAGGGTTGAGAAGACAACGAAATGTCCCATAAGTGAGTCCCGCTGTGTTGCATTTGATCAGCCACCCCTTGTTTGAGGAGGAGACTTGGAAAAAGGAGGTGTGTGATAGAAATTTCCTGCAGTTGAGGCCGTAGAGTTGTTTCTTTCTAGGTGGTCTAATAACCAAAGTTACGACGAGGGGGTTTAGGTGGATGATAGGGCGGCTTGGGAAAGGATTGTCATCACTCATCACCAACAGAAATCGAGGAGCGCCAAGATGTACATGTGCTACAGAAATGGAGGAGTTCGAGGATAGAATACAAACAGAGGACAATCATCAAGAGTAGCTCCTTCGGTAACATAGACCAATCAATCATTTTATTCACACATAAGAAGCAAAACACTATCAGGAGACAATACATCTTGGTCTGGACTCAATGTGTTTTGAAGGAGACAGCAAGGTCCTGGTTTATATTTTGCAAACCAAAAGAGATGAATTTGATTGAAGACATTAATCTATGGCGCGTTCATTTCGTCATCACTCTTTAGCTTATGTCAAAAGACATTCCAATGAAGCAGCTCATTTGTTAGCTAAGAAATGTCCTTCACATATTCCATTGTATTCTGATTGTATTTATTCGCCTCCTTGGCTAACTAATGTTTTGTATTCAGACCTTATGATTTCAAGTTAATAAAGTATAAAATTTCCGTAAAAAAGAAAGAAGCAAAACGCTATCATTCTTATTGCTACGAATCGATGTGTTTGTTGGTCTTAACCTTTTAGAGAAACCAAATAAAACTTTGAATAGAAAAGGAATTCATAAGGTAAATATCTATTTAAAAAAAATTATTGAGAAAAATTTTATTATAGGACATTTTAAAAAAATCAATACAGAGCATTTAGCACTTGGTAAAAGCAATGAAATAACATCGATTTTTTTCCATATAATAAAAGTATTTTAGATTACTCTCAACAAAGCAAAAAATATGAGTAATCACGAGAAAACAAAAATAGCTACCGAGGAAGAGATCAATGGAAGTTCTGACAACAGTGGCTATCTTTCGAACGTTGAAGAAGGAAAAATTGGTGAACTCGTTTGCGCACTTCCCGCACTGAATGTTAGTGAACGTCTTAATATGGAGGAAGCAGGCCTCCACAATGCCGTCGTTGCGGCTGAGTTGGTTATTGCTGCCTCCGAAGAAGCCGTTGTTTCAAAGGGAAAGATGGAGCAAACAGTTGATGCGATTGGCGAAAATACCAAAAACACAAAGCTAGATCGTCGGCCCAGGATGGATGAATTGGATGACGCGGCTGGAGCCTCTGGTTCTACAGCCATCGGTTCGGCAAGAGAAGAAGGGCCGGTGAAGAAAGCAAAGAAGAATTGGGGATTGGTGATTGATTTGAATGTTGATCCAATGGAAAAAGAAGAGGAAGCTGGATCGAGATCTATTCTAAAGTTTGATCTCAACATGTCACCACCGGAAGATGAAGATGAAGAAGGATTAAATGCTATGAATGTGAACAGAAGACTATAAAATTAAATGCATAATAATGATATTATTTTAATTAGTTGACAACAATTATATACTTTTTCTCTTCCAGTTCTCTCTTCTTATCATTTTATCATTTTATCCTTTACAATCATATATGTTTATAAAAATGTTGTTGTGCGTAAAAAAACTCTACCCTATGTACCTAAAAACAGTCTCTAAAAAATTCTTAAAAACTAATTATACTATGTACTGATAGGGTAGTTCCCAAAAATCCTAATATTTTTAAAAAATTATCTGGATATCGTAATTGTTTACCCACTACCATTACCGTTATCTTAACTATGCTTCTTTTGTTTCAAAAATAATGTTATTTTCTCATATTTTATATATATTATAAAAAATTATAAAAGTTCTACATTATCTATTCTATTAAAACAGAAGCATTTTTAGTGCTTGCTTCCAAACACTCCTAAATATTTTTTAAAATTCTGTTTGGAAGTAGTTTAAACATTATCCCATTTTGTTTTTACAAAAATAAATATATACATAAATATAATTCCAAATTTAGGATAAAATATCTCAACAAAGATTTTCAGAGATTTTTGTTTATATTAAAAAGTAAATGAATATAGACCAAATTAATTTTTTGAATTTATATTTTTGATTCTCCTTGATAAAAACTCTCTGATCTTTTTTCTTTGGGTGCTGCGTTTTTTTCTTCATCCGTAGTATCTCTACTATTGAAAAAATCACTTTTAGTTTTTGTTTCCAAACACTCAATATTTATTAAAAAAAAAATATTTTTGGAAATAAATTTAGCATTTACCCAGTTTAGTGTAATATTAATTAAAAGTATATTTTACTATTTTATTTTTATTTTATTTTGTATTTATATTTTATTCCAAAAATTTAAATATTTTTATAATTGTAGTCCTATGTGGGTTATTTACGTTTGTCAAAACATTTAAGATATGAAAATGATATGAAGTAATTAAATGGACTGGTTAGCCCATTTTAACACTAATATGTATATAGATTGTTTGTATTCTAATCTAAACTAGATTTTACTTTGTGTATTCACACGAGATTTTTTCTATTAATCAAATTATGTATTATAGTTTGTGTTTTCTTTATAGATATATTTTTTCTAATAAGTAACAACAATTTATTTTTGTATTTAGATATAATTGTTGTTTAGATTTATTTTTAAGTATTATTATGACTACGATTATAAAAACATAATTCTAATCCAACCATTATATTAATATGGAAAAGACTGTGGTTGTAAAACATTTTTTCACTCATGCACTCGCACGAGAATTTTGTTTTAATCCAATTTTGTAATATAAATATTTTGTGTTTGGATATAATTTGTTTGTAGATTTAATTTTTATAAAATCAGTAATTTTATTATCATATTTTTATAGTACATACATGACATTACCATATGTTATATATTAATAAAATAAGATTATAAGTTTTTTAAGTATATATCAATGTAAAATTAATTGTAAATTGTGTTACTATGCGAATTTAAATTACCACACAATAAATTCACACACACACACATATATATATATATATATATATATATATATAAGTCTTAAGTCTAAGTTTTTTGTGATCTTTTATTAAATATAATTGTTAGTTTTTGGGAAAAAACTTTAAGTCTCCTCAGTGTTTTAGCCAGTTTAAGAAATGGTTGTAAGTCCCATTTGTTACTAGACAGGATTGTAAGTAGTCATAAAACATTTTTCTTAATATACTAAAAATGAGTTTATTTAAAAGATCAACATCAAACAGGTCCGAGTCTACGTCTTCTTCTAGGTCTGATAGTAAGTCTCTTAGAAACTCAAAAGGCATCATCATTAGTCATGAAACAACTATAGATGATTTCCAAGGTTCAATTGATAATTGGGAAATTCCAAAAGTTCATAAAGAACAAATTTATCAAATCTCAAAATTAAATTTTCTAAGAACTGATTACTCAATTAAAACTGAAGAACGAGATATACAACTTACAAAATCTTTTGAAACAATCCATTTGTTTTCTGAAAAAGCTCTAAAAAGACATAGAGAAAACGGTTTTAAATATATACATATTAGTTTAGTTCAAGTTGGAATTAAACCACTTTCAAAAGAAGGATTAAACACTTCTATTTTAGCTATTTTACGAGATACAAGATTTAAAATATTTGAAGATTCATTATTAAGCTCTATTGAATCAAGTTTGTGTACTGGTCCAGTTTCATTTGATTGTTATCCAAATTTTACAGTATCTTTAAAAGATAAAAATATCTTAAAATCTCTAGTTTTACAAGTTAAAACTCACAATTATGAAATGATCGCAGGATCTATTCCAATTGCTATAATTTTTAGAGTTCATTATAAAGCCATGATGAGTGCTTTCTCTTCAAAAGTAAAAATTTCGAGTAAAAAGGGTGAAACCCTCTTACTACAAACAGATCTTTCGAGATCCAACTCCGTAATTCCAAAATCTATTCAATGGAAAGAAATAAATCTTCCTGATGAATGGGTTCTTGAAGGAGTTGTCCAACCAAAACCTACAATACCTAATGAATCTTTAGAGCCAAATACACGTTTAAAACATATTGAACAATTTCATGATGGAAAGGTAAAACTTTCTTTCATACGAAATCATCATAAAACGATAGATGATTACACATGTGAATCTTCTTCTCTTCCAGAAACTATTGATCTAGGAAGAGTTTCACAATTAGCACAAGATTTTTCCAGAATGGAAAATTGTCCAAAATTCCAACCACGGTTTTCAACTTCTGATATTCCAAATTCTGTTTTAAGAAATGTTGATTTTCGAACACAAATCCCAAAACCTGTTTACAAAGCAGAAAGTAGTTTTCAACATAATGACTTTTCTCCAAAATCGGAGCCAACAAGTCCTACTTTCTCAGCGGTTACAGATAATATGATAAATGAGTTAAATGTTTTAGAAAAAGATTTTCAAATCGATAAAGAGTTTTTACGTGATGAATTCTACTCTAAAAATAACACCCAAAAAAGACTTTGGTTTTTCAAAAACTTTTTAAAGAATAGAAATTTAATCCAGAAGAGTTTTACAAATATCTCTATAAACATAAAGTACAAATTTTATTTTTCAATTGGTTTGAATACTATGCATTCAAAAATAGTATCAATTTTCCTTTTTCTAAAACTGCGAATCCTATCACCACTCGCAATAAAACCCCTGAATGGGAAACCCTTGCCAATGGAAAAATTATCCATTCCAATCACCCCCTCAAGAGGGAATCAAGCTTGAATTATTGGGAACACCAATTGAAGCGATTCCTTTTAAACGTCCCCAAGATGATGATAAGACTAATATCAAAAATATCATTGTCCAAAATAATTTTTCAAATACGAATCTTGGAACGATAGGCAAACAGCTTGATAGAATCGAAAAATCGATTCAAAATCAACATATCACTTCAATAGATTCTACCTCTGAAAAGAAAACAAAAAAAAACCCATATTCAAACCTTTCCAAATTTCAAGCTCTAGTGTCAAAATCTACCAAGAGACGAATAAAGAATTCATTCGTGCTCTTCAAAGCCAACTAAGTAAGATAGACATAGGAGAAAATAGCACGCCTCAGGAATCTGATATTCCCGATACTCCTACTTCTAAAGCCCAGATAAATACTCTAGCAAATGAATCCTATTCTAGTGAAACCTCTGAGCAAAATTCAACCCCTGAGATTAACCGTCTTGGTCGAGAAAACCATCAAGATCATCAAATAATCTCTGCCCCTGACTTAGGTCAAATCCAGACAATAGAACAATCTAGGTTCAATTCATCTTCAGTTTATGACTGGAATATCGATGGAATATCTGAGTACAATATCTTAAATTTCCTCCAAAAGATGACTATGGCCGCAAACGCCTATAGAACTCAAGTAGGAAATGAAGATAGAACCGTAGCTGAGCTCCTAACTGCTGGATTTTCAGGCCAGCTTAAAGGATGGTGGGATAACTACCTAAACAATCAGCAACGCTCATAAATTCTAGATGCCGTCAAAACGGATGAGGATAACGTGCCCATACTAGATAATTTTGGAAATCCCCAACAAGATGCTGTAGCCACCATAGTTATAGTCATAACCTTGCATTTTATAGGAGATCCCTCAGTACTTAAGGATAAGAACGCTGAACTCCTTTCAAACCTTAAATGCAAAAGGCTTAGTGATTTCCAATGGTACAAAAACACTTTCCTTATTAGGGTTCTACTCCGCCAAGATTCAAACCAACCTTTTTGGAAAGAAAATTCCTCGCAGGACTTCCAACCCTTCTAGGAGAAAAAGTTAGAAATAAAATTAGAGATTCCACAGGAACTCAAATAATTGATTATGATGATTTCACTTATGGAGAATTGATCAGTATTGTTCAACAAGAAGGTCTCAAGATCTGTCAAGATCTAAAACTCTAGAAACATCTTAAATGGGAACTCAAAAGAACAAAAGTAGAATTAGGCTCATTTTGTAGACAATTCGAAATTGATCCCAGCAAAAATAGTAAGTCCTGCATAGAAGATTGCAGTAATTCTTACTACTCTAAAAATAAGCCTAGAAAATACTCTAAAACCTATAGAAATCATAAATCTCACGAAAATTCCTGGCAAAAACCTCGTAAGAGATTTACTCCAAAAGAAATAACAAACTCTAAGCCATTCTACAAAAATCTCACTTGCTTCAAATGTAATAAAAAAGGTCACACTTCAAAATTCTGCCGTTTTAACAGAAAAATCCAAGAACTCGGCCTTGGAGAAGAACTTTCGAGTAAAATATCAAATCTCTTGCTAGATCATTTATCATCATCGAGTAATGGTTCTGATTCATCATTATCTTCTGAAAAAGCCCTACAAGTTGATGCTAAAAAACTCATCATCCGGCTCTGAATCCGATGAAAATAAAATAAATGTACTTACAAAAGATCAAGAATTTCAGATTGAAATCTTGAATTCCATTTCAAATCCTCAGACCAAACAAAAATTTTTAGAAACAATCC